GCCCATTTTGTAGCCCAGTTCCCAACCTATCATATGGTGAAACAATTATATCAATATCTTTAGCAGTTTTCGAGATATAACATCTTAAAGAAAATGCTGTGCGTAAATCTACCTACTACCAGGTTCTGGTGTCCTGGTGTTTAACAAAAATTTTTGGAGTTTTTATTTTTCAATTTTTGGGGGGTCAAAGACACTTTTATATTTTGTGTTATAACTCGGTTGTTTTCAATGATATTTTAATGAAATTTTTGAATGCAGATAAAACAGGAAGTGAGGAATATTTTTTAAACAAGAAAAACTGCCACGCCCACTTGTTGGTGAAAAAATGGGCGTAAACGCTTTTTTGTTTTTTAGGGCAACATTGTACTGTTTTCCAAAAACATTAATGAATCTACTTCTAGCTGAAAACATGACCTTTCATTTGATATAACTTTCACGAATATACATCAATCAATTTCAGACATAGGGCCTTTCAAACTTTGCTTGAACAGAGCTATAACAGTTCGCTGTGAATTAAACATGTTTTTCGAATTTTCTTTAATAACTTTGCTGTTTTTCAACATAATGTAATGAAATTTAGTGTGTTGACTAAGAAAGATATGGTGAACATTTTTGAAAAAATATATAATTTGCCACGCCCACCAATCGGCTTTAAAATGGGTGTTAACATATCTTTGCCTTTTTCGTCAACTTTAACTTAAGTTTTAACAAAATGAATTCATCGATGTATTAGCTGAAATGCTAGCCTTTCATTTGATAACACTTTCTTTGCAATACATCAAATATGTCTGGAGTTATAAGGTTACAAAATTTAGACAAACAATACCAAAAACTACCCATGGTGTGTTAAAATCATTTTCAGATTTTGTTCAATATTTCGATGGTTTTTAAGAATTTTAGAATAAAATTTAAGACATTTATAGATTGGACTATGACGATTCTTATAAGGTGAAATATAATCCCTACGTCCGTTTATGAAGAAGGATAACTGTACATCCGGAGCTAGACCACAGCGCATCTATCTAGCATATCGATCTATCATCTATCTTCTATCGAGTCATCGAGCGAGCGAGAGCGACGAGCTAGCGAGCGAGCTAGCGATCTAGCTATGCTAGCGAGCGAGCGAGCGAGCGAGCGAGCAGGAGCAGCGAGCGACGAGCGAGCGAGCAGCGAGCGAGCGAGCAGCGAGCGAGCGAGCGATAGCGAGGAGCGAGCGAGCGAGCGAGCGAGCGAGCGAGCGAGCGAGCTAGCTAGGAGCAGCGAGAGCGAGCGACGAGCTAGCGAGCGAGCGAGCGAGCAGCGAGCGAGCGAGCGAGCGAGCGAGCGAGCGAGCGAGAGAGGAGCGAGCGAGCGAGCGAGCGAGCGAGCTACTAGCGAGCTCGATCGAGCGAGCTAGCTTAGCGGCTATCGAGCGAGCGAGCGATCGAGCGAGCTATCTATCTAGCTAGCGATCTATCTATTAGCTATCTAGCTATCTATCGATCGATCTATCGAGCGATCTGATCTAGCTATCTATCTATCGATCTAGTCTATCTATCTGATCTATCTACTATCTATATCTATCTATCTACTCTATCCATTTTGTCCGGGGTTTCCATAATAAAAACACTTGTATTTCCTTTTATTTTTATATGTTGTTTTTAATTTTCAAGTTTATTTTGTTCATCATACTTAAAAATATTAATTTCTTTTGTTTGTTGTTGTTTTTTAGTTTTTCTTTCCTCCTTCTTTGTTTTTTTTCTAAATATTATTTTATTTTATATATTATTGTTATAATAATGAATGTAATTTTGTTAATACTACACAAATGAGCAAAAGTTATGTTTTGTGTTGTAGTTTTTCCTCCTTTTCCTTCTCTAATATGGGGCTGAGGTTGGTTTTTGTTGTTGTTTTTTTATTTTTAAAACTTATTGTTTTTATATAGAAATTTTTTTAACAACACATTTAATAATTTTTTTTATTACTAAAGTTATCGTTTTTTTTGTTGTTTCTTTTTGCTTTAACTAATTTCTAATTAGAATTTTGTTTTTGTAGGGGTGTTAGTATTTCTTTTTTTTCGTAAATATATAATTTTAATTAATTTGCAACAATTTCATAAAATGTGCCTTTGTTTTCTTTTCTGATCCAGCTAAATTACATATATTTTTTTTTGTTGTGTGTGTTTTTAAATATTTTTAAATTTTTTTTTGTTTTTAATTTCTTTTGTTAACGGCTTTATAGAGGAAATATTTGCTTTACTTCTTTTTGATTTATTTTTTTTTTTGTATAATACATTTTTTTTTGATTTTTTAACAATTACTTAAATTTTCTCAGTTTTTTTGTGTTAATTAAATTTTAGGTATTGTTTTGTTGCAGGATTTGGTATTTTTTTAGTTGTTTCTTTTTGTTTTTGCTTTTTAAGGTGGTGTAAGTGATTTTTTTTAATTTGTTGACTTTTAAAGTTTTTTTTTTTTGTTATTATACGAAAAATATATATTTGTTTGTGTTTTTTTATAATTAATTAAATTTTGATACTAGTATCTAGTAATAAAATAATTTCTTAATTGTCACGTTTACAATTGATTAGATGGACTAATACTTGGACTAATCTGTTGAATAGTAAACAGACTAGACCATAGACTAGGTAATAGCCTAGTCCGTAGACTAGTTAAAAGACTAGTCCATTGAATAGTCCATAGAATAGTCAATAGACTTATTCGGAGACTAGTCAATAGGCCAGTTCAGAGACTAGTTAATAGATTAGTCAATAGACTAGTTCATGGACTAGTCTATAGACTAGTTCAAAGACTAGGGAATAGAGTAGTCAATAGACTAGTTTATGACTAGTCAATAGATTAGTTCATGACTAGTCAATAGACTAATCCATATACTAGTTTCGACTAGTTTATAGATTAGTCAATAAACTAGTTCATAGACTAGTCAATAGACTACTTCATAGACAAGTCAATGGACTAGTTAATAGATTACTTCATAGACTAGTCAATAGACAAGTTCATGACTAGTCAATAGACTAGTTAATAGACTAGTCAATAGACTAATCAATAGACTAGTTCATAGACTAGTCTATAGACTAGTTCATAGACTAGTCAATAGACATGTTCATAAACTAGTCAATAGACTGGTTCAGGGACTTTTTCATAGACTAGTTCAGGAACTAGTCAATATACTAGCTCAGAGACTAGTCTATAAACTAGTGTAGAGACTAGTTCAGGAACTAGTCTACATACTAGTTTAGAAACTAGTCTATAGACTAGTGAATAGACTAGTTCATAGACTAGTCAATAGACTAGTTTATGACTAGTCAATAGATTTGTTCATGACTAGTCAATAGACTAATCCATAGACTAGTTTATAGACTACTCAATAGACTAGTTCAGGAACTTGTCAATATACTAGTTCAGAGACTAGTCTATAGACTAGTGAACAGACTAGTTCAGGAACTAGTTAACATACTAGTTCAGAAACTAGTCAATAGACTAGTTCATAGACTAGTCAATAAACTGAGAATGGTCAATAGACTAGTTCATAGACTACTCAATAGACTAGTTAATAGACTAGTCAATAGACTAGTTCAGGAACTAGTCTATAGACTAGTGAATAGACTAGTTCAGGAACTAGTCTATAGACTAGTGAATAGACTAGTTCAGGAACTAGTCAGTATACTAGTTCAGAAACTAGTCTATATACTAGTTCATAGACTGGTTCAGAAACTAGTCTATAGACTAGTGAATAGATAGTTCATGGACTAGTCAATAGACTAGTTCACAGACTACTCAATAGATTAGTTCATAGTCTAGTCAATAGAGTAGTTCACAGGCTAGTCAATAGAGTAGTTTATAGACTAGTTCGAAAATTAGTTCATAGACTAGTTGAGAGTCTAGTCAATAGACTAGTTCATAGACTAGTCAACAGATTAGATCATAGATAAACTGCTCATGGAGTAGCTGACCCTTGAACCTCATCAATATTAAGGGTGACAATTAAAATTTTCTTCACAATTTGTTTCTGTTGTTGTTTGTTTTTAAATTACTTCTTTTAATTGAATTAATATTTAAAATTATTAATTTTTTAAATACTAAAGTTTATTATACGTACAATACTACAAACTAAAATGGTTTTTCCATTTTTTTTCTTCTTTTGTTTTATAATTAATTGTAGTTTTTATTAATTATTTATTTATATATAAAGTTTAATAGTTTTTATTAAATAATTGTGAGTTCCTGTTAGAGTATGAGTGTATGTGTGTGTGTGTGTGAAAGAGTGTTTTTAGAGGTGTAAATGTGAGAATTTGTTGAGTTGTGAGTGTTAAGACAGACGTTTCTATAATGTGTTATTGTTTTATTTATTTTTATAAATTTTAATTATTGTTTATTTAAATTTAATCAATAAATCACTTTCCTTTAATGCTAATTATTTATTAATTTATTCATTAACTTAAATGCTAACAAAAAGAAACAATTATTATTAATATTAAAAAAAGTTTATCATAAAAAATAAATCAATTAAATTATTAATTTAAAAAAAAAAAAAAAATGTTGTTAATTTTATTTTAGTTTTCACAATTTACATACAATTAAACATAATTTTATTGTTTGCTGTTTTTTTGTTGTTGGCTTGTTTTTTTTTACTATTAAATAATTATATTTATGTTTTTTTTCTTCCGTTTTAATATAAATTTTTAACATAATAATTTGTTAAAAATAAGGAGGGGAATTTAAAGTCTTATTTGTATTCTTATTAAACTCAGTACAAGGGAGTCTACACTTGCTTAAGGAGTCTTTAAAAATATTTTTTTTTTTTTA